GAGAACACTTGGTCGGAGTTGGTCATTGCCTTACCGATGACTTTCATTCTGTCCTTGACAACCAAGTTGATGACATGGGCTAAACATCGCGCGTGGAATTAAGGCGTAATTGCCGAGGTTGATTGGCCAGCCTGACGGTCGTTGATAAATCGCTGGACCCGGGTCGTTGGTGTATTATTAGAGCTTGCATTGTCCAGGGTGACAAACGCAATCTTATTGATAGCCTTCCAATCTAGAAGTACTTGACAGAGTCCCTCGGAGATCGCTTGGCCTGTGTGTGGTGGAGGAAGCAATCGGAAACTGATGATTGACTTGACTAGTTCACACTTTTTGTTGATGTAGTGCGAGGTGACAACCATATAACCTGTGAGGTCAGTTGCCGTCCATAAGTCGGTAGTGAGAGCGATCCGATTTGCCTGTTTGGCTATTGTAGCAATCTGACTAGCCTTCATTGAGTTGAATAGCTTGAGGCAATTGTTTCTGACTGTCTGGCGACCGGGCATAACAAACTGCGGCTGGACGGTATTCATGAGTTTAATGAAGCCTTTGTGCTCGGCGATTGCAAACGGATACTCGTGTCGAATGATCATTTCAGCAAGTGCTTCTCTAGACTTTTCTTGCAAGTAGACCCCGACGCGGTTGGAAGAAGTTTGAACGGTGCTCGTGAATCCTAAACATGTTTTGCGATCGGGAAGAACAAACCCTCCTTTCGCCTCAAGACAACGACGTGCGTGACAGTGCAAGTGGTTAGTTCCAGAACTAGATGCACTTGAGAGTTTGGTCTTGCAATAGTTGCATGTAGCCTTTTCATTTCCTTCCTTATCTGTATGTCACAAAGGCAGGTAGACAGTCATGTCAGCTTGTAATTCATCTTGTTGTATAATTAGTAATACTTAAGAATCACTCACCAAGTCCAATCTTTGTGAAATGTTCCCATACTTCACTGGTTAGCCTTCTTTTTTTCATCTGACGATCTGAGGGGCATCGTCCTGAGATTCACTTTCTGGCACAGGGGTGAAAGATGCTGAGCCATCACCATCATCTGTGCTGCTGTTGATGGTCCTTTTCCTTCTTGTTGATGCTTGAGAGGGAGCTGGTGTTGATGCTTGGGAGGGAGCTGGGGTTGATGCTTGGGAGGGAGCTGGGGGTGAAACCTGGATGTCTGCATTGGAATCTTCCATTGGAGCTTGGATCATCCAAGGTGCAATTGGTGAGGACTGGAGCCTAGCGAAAGTGTAGCGAGACCGGCGAGGAGGAAAGCGTAGCGAGACCTGTCAGCCTTAGAGATACTCCAGAGTATCCAAAAGACTGCTAAATGAATATTAAGTATTAAAATACTCCACATGTAATATAATATGTAGTTATATTATTTAATAAAACAACATTTCATAATATTATAAAGGGGGTTGTCCACTGGAAGTATCCCCAAATTCCTACTCCTTCAAGGACCTTGTATATATTCAAACTCTTGAAGGACAAAAGGAATAAAATATATAAATCTATAGAATAAAATTAATGTATATTAAATTAGGGTTAAATATACATTTAGGGTAACCTTAGAAATTTTATTCTACAAGCATAATCAATTTATTAAAACTTGTAGAAAAGAAATTACCACACTATGTCAAGAGTGTGGCACTTTCTACTAGTAATATTCTATTTAAGAAGACACATGATGTAATTGGCTATAAACATGCATCATGATGTCATGGGACATAGAATATACATTATTTGAAATACCTTGAATTATTCCCATTACATCAGGGGAATAATTCTACCATGGTAGACCAAAGAGAGATTCTAGAATATTCTAAGGAGGGCCTCAAGGGGACCTCTAGAATATTTAAGGAGGCCTTCTCCTGCCTAGGATTGGTTCCTCAGCATATTCACCCCCAACAAACTAAGTGAGTACAGTGAATATTCTCCACCTACTTTTAGAGTAGTTTTTTTATCATCCAATCCAACCCTACCTTCTTACTGGAATTATTATTAAGCTGAGAGTTATCCCAGACTCAACACTTAAGTAATTCCTTAAAAAGTAGTTGCTGCAAGACCACCACCTCTGACTGTAGCCTTTCAGCTCAGGTGCTTGCCAGCTACTTCTTGCAATATTAATTATTGCTTCCAAACACTCTACAATAACTTTTCTGTTATTGTCTCCTACAGTGCTCTCTTGATTATTCAAGTGTCTTTAACTGAGGAGTGTGGACTTTATAACCTCTTAAGTGGGAAGTTTGGACCACTTAATACTTTGAGGGTGACTAGGAGTAATCTTGGTCTTTAACCTGAGTCCTTCAGCACAGTGATAGTACTTGGCTTTTATATTATTAAGCCAAAGTTTCATACACATAGATGACAAGACCGGCCAGGACCCTAGCGAAAGCGTAGTGAGAGAGCAAAGTGTAGCAAGACCGGTGAGGAGCCTAGCAATAGCGTAGTGAGACCGTTGAGGAGCCTAGCGATAGCGTAGCAAGACCGGCGTGACCACTGACAATCCACGCAATTGTTGAGGAAGGAGCCTAGAGGCTAGCAGAGACCAGCGAGAACCAGCAAGACAATTGGTGAGGAAAACGTAGCGAAACCACGTAACAAAACCGGCGAAAGCGAGACAATCGTAGCATCAACGTAGTGATCGAGAGGAAGCAATCACTAGATGCTAGAACAGAGCAACTCACCTGGCAATATACCGATGTTTGTCCAGGTCGAGGGTTGAATGAGTATCGGCCGCGCCCGCGACGTTCGTCAAGAGTGTCGATTGAGATTCCCTTCTGTCCGATGCTAAGTCGGAACTCGGACCTGAGTCCTGAGTCTGACCGAGCGGGGCCGGCACCAAGGCTTCCCACTGCACTGGCCCGACGGGCAGCCCGATTAGACCCGACCTTTAATTGGGTCATCTCGGGCCGGGCCTAAGTGAAAAATCCCAAGAAAATATTGGCCCAAACCCGGTTGGGTTCGGGCGGCCCGCCGGACACCCGGCCCAATTACCATCCTTACAGACATCCCATATACCTGTCTATCAAAGCATGTTATTACTTTGAGTACCTGTATGACTGATTGGGTTGCTGGATTTTTTGGTGTTTGGAGAATGTGTTGAATTTTTGGACTGGTGGCATGTAAGAGGCAGAGGGCCAAAACAAAAGAAAGAATTCATTTTTTGGGAAAAGCTCACGGGAAAAGAATGAAAGAGCCGATCATTTTTTAAACACTTGTATCCAGTCAGGTTTAAATAGACTAAATACAAGCGGCGAAAAAGTGGTTAATAGAAAATGAATCAAAGAACATATCGAATAAAAAACTGAGGGAAATTAGAGACATGGGTTTTTGGAAGAAACCAACCCGTCAAGCCGGCTTCTCAGTCTCTTTTAGACAAGCCGGATGAGTTCATCAAAAGAATGCATCTCATAATTCACAACTTGTTGGAGTCGTTAATTCTAAGTAATCAGTTTTAAATAAATCAGTCAAGAATCGGGAAAGAGAAGAATTTATCGTAGAGACATGAGTGGTTAAGAATGGCTGACTACTTAGGGCTCAAATTTGACTCAGAAGGGGCTTAAAGATAACCAAAAACATGCTACTTGAGAAATATAGACTGGTCTGATTTTTGATGACTAGAAAGAGGATAAGGGCAGAGAGAGAAAAACAAGGGAAATTTCAACAGAATGATTTGGAATGGTAGTCGATCATATTTGATTGACTTAGATACAAAATCTCTGAACCTCGATTTCTATCGGATCTGAGCCAATCCCTGCAGCACGGCATGTACCTCGTCGGGACCTTCAAGATGAAAAAGTCCCATGCTGGCTGCCTGGTGCCCCAATCTGGGACCAACAATGACTCCAGCGAAGCCCCTTTGTTGCATGGCTTGATGCATGCCCACGTCGGCTGCTTTATCGCCAAAAGAGATTCCATACCTAAAGCGACCCGTCTGGAGCTGTCCTTCAACCACTTTGCCCTTTCCTCGTCCCTTGTGGGCGAGCATGACTTGGTTCTTGTCTTGGTCAAGAACCGCTTCGAATTCTCTAGCGCCCACCCTATTGAGCTCTGCTGCGAGAAAGCCCCGAGCTCGGTTACGATCATAGCCCTCGGCTGTGGAAAACCCAACAATTAGTGGAGATGGTTGGATTATGTAGGATTTCCGTCGTGAGAGACTCACGAAATTGGATGATTTTCGAAAACTGATGCTCGCCCTTTACTTTCCAGTCATTGGGTATTCTCATTCTTGAAAATCTTTCTTGCCATGTCCTTGAGCCAATTATCGTGGGGGAAAATTGATGTGAATCTGGAGCTTTATTCATCATATCATGCTCAGCGGATAATCCCAAGCGCGGAACATCTCCCAAGAGGGTTTGAAGTTGAGATGCTGGCTTTGAAGATGCAACATAAACCGTATGTTGGGTTCGTGTAAGAGGTGATAAGACATTGCTCCGGACATATTCCATGTATCGTGGAGACGTTTCTCGGCCCTTAACCTTTTCGACCAGGACTCCCTGGACGGATGTCAGAGTGGTTTGGTTAGAAGGTTAAGATTTCCGTCAACTTGTGAGCTCATTAAATTTTGAGCATTTTTATTTTTCTTGTCGAGTGTGAATGAAATCTTACATTATAATCGGAGACCACCAAAATCGGGCCTCCACGTGCCCGGGCCTGGCCTAAAATCGCATCAACGGCGGCTTGGGTACTGATGATCGCAGCAGGCAAACCTAGGAATATACTCGAATGACGTCATTAGAAATTCAGTTGACGTGAGGATTCGATAAAGGAATTTTAAGATCACTGAATTTGTTGCGAAATAAAGACGCTTTGAAACTTACAACAAATGCAAAGCACTAAGGTTATTAAGAGATTGGAAGCCATTCTAGGATTGATTAGATGTAATTATGTAATTCAAAAGATGAATTTCGGTTAAAAGAAAGACGACGAAGTAACGAGGGACAAGTGCTGGTTGCTGATGGGTGCGGATGGGTGGGAAGCATTCACGAATTTATAGTCAACTGGCAAGCTTGAAAGGAAGCTCAATCATGCTCACCGGAGTGTGCAATGCCATAGGCCACATCACACTAAAAAAAAAAATGCTCACAGACATGTGGATACTACCTAGTTTGAAACTGTACAGCTCCGAAACCTGAAGATTTGTCTCAGTTTCTGGTGAATTCTTGTCTCGAAAAGTGCAAAAACAGGATCTAAATATTTGATCTCTTCATAGCGATGAAGAAGAGTCGCTGGAACCCGAAGTGTTGTACGAAACTCCCACATCGCGACTAACTGGCTTCAGACAGTGGAAAAGTTTCAGCTTCATTATTAACGCCCCTGGTTTGTCACCTTGTTACTCGACCACGGTGCGAAGACTCCCGGCAAAACAGCAAGCCCGGGTCTGTTTGACGATGACAACTCTGAAGTCAGACCGAAGACGCGAAAAATGTTTGATTTGGCGACGAAACTGGTTGGTGAACACTAGATCTTCCCCTCGTCTATTTGATGGCTGTCGTGCCTTATGGAGAATCGAACGACTTGGGCCAGACTGCTGTAACCCACTAGGGGTTACACATTCTGATGCTCACCGCAGCCACAAGCTAGTCTCTTCCCCGAGTTGCAGACTCATGTGCTCAATCTCATATCAGTCAAACATCACACTTGGTCTATTCTTATGGTATTCAAAGGTTAAATTTCATAAAGTCATAAGCGCATAAATCATATAATCATAAAACTATTTTGGCTGGGAAAGCCAAAGCTTACATAATCAGATTACCAAGATCCCCTGCAAACAAGGTTTTAAGATCTTATGATTTATGCGGTTCTAATTTTATGAAATTTAACTTTGAATACCATCACTACCAAAATGATTGTATCAGATTGATCCATCTGGCATTGTGTCAGATAAAAATATCTGATATTACATCAGGAAAAACTGGGATTGTATCTACCAGAATTGATATTGTATCTACCTAAAATGATATTGTGTCTATCATGAAAGATATTGCATTGGAACACCCTATTCAATGTCAACATAACTGAATTCATACCAGAGTTTCTATCTGATTTAATGCCCATGGGCTAAAAATTTGTATCAGATGTAAAAATCTGATATAAAATCAGTTATGTTGACATTGAATAGGTTGGGCTGATGCAATATCTGTTATGATAGATGTAACATGGTTTTAGGTAGATACAATATTACTCCTGATAGATATAATACCAGTTTTGCCTGATGTATAATCAGATTTTTTCAACTGATGTAATGCCAGATGTGGGAATCTGACATAATCACATTTGCAGTGCATATCTGTCGACGTCAAACTTATTGCAAGTCTCAGGATGCGGGGGGCGCATCTGGCAGCGTAGCGCTGGCCAGGCGGTTCCCAAAGGGAACTCCCCACAGGGGAGACTTGGGCCAGAGGTTGACAAACTCAGGTGCTTGGTCTATTCTGCCAACGTCAAACTTATCACAAGTCTCAGGCTGTGGGGGGCGCATCTGGCAGCATAGCGCTGGCCAGGCGGTTCCCAAAGGGAACTCCCCGCAGGGGAGACTTGGGCCAGAGGTTGACAAACTCAGGTGCTGAGTTTTGATTGTTTTGGTGGGAGCGTCACAAGATTTGTAATCATGACACTCCCTCAAAACTTTTTTGATGTTTGGTATCAGATTTTTAAAGACCTGCCTGATCTTATTAGCCCAGTTCACGTAGGGCGTTTTTATTGACAAGTCTGAAAAGTCGCACTGCTTGTTGCTTAAACTGTTTGCTTGTGTTGTGCGTGGGACTTCACCAAAACCTTAAGCAAGATGTTGTTAAGTGTTGCTTGTCACAGAAATTTTATTTGTGAACAAGCCACAACGTGAACTGGCCTATTGATCAGGCCAAATTTCAAAAGTTTAAAATCACAAAAGTAATTACAGCTGTTCCGGGAAGTCTTGTCCACTTGGACTCACATTTTTTTTTGTTTTGAAATTTTTGAAATTTTTCTTTGTACTGAACTACAGCCAAGAAGGTACAGCTGTCATCAGTAGTTCAGTTCTGACAGGTCCAGTTCAGTAAAAAAAAAAAAAAAATGAAAAAATGAAAAAGAATTTGCAAGTCCAAGTGGACAAGACTTCCCGGAATAGCTGTAATATTGATTTTCTAAAATCAATGTTTGAACTTTTTTTACGCTCACATAATCAGCTAGCTTGATGAACTTGCGCACACCAAAAAAACTCAACTTTTGTTGAAAGGGTCAGCCTTTTTGCACTCCAAAAAAAATCCCCGTGCACACCAAAAAAGGAGTGCACTCCAAGAAGTCTTGGAGTGCACTTTTGGGCACTCCAAAATTTCTTGGTGTGCACACCAAAATGAGCACATCATGGTTTTTTGGAGTGAATGGTTGTGCACACCAGGGTTTTGGGAGTGCACACCCATACACTCCAAGATGTTACTTCCCAGGTATTTAAAGAGGTGCAAAACCTGCTCACTCCAAATTATTTGGAGTGCACAGAGCTTCACCCCAAAAATTTGGAGTGTTTCCTAGGACCCTGAGACTGAAATCACACTCAATTCATAATATTTTGGATTCATTGCACTTGACAGAAACATAATTTTTTTGTAATTTTTGAAAGCCATAAAGGCCTTATCAACAGACGGAGAGAGAGAGATTTAAATAACCTTTTTGGAATCCACAAGGAGCCGGTGATAGAAAGCCAGGCCCTGCTGTATGTAACTCCACCAGCCCTTAGCGGTTTCCAAAGTGCACTTAGTTGCCAGCATGGGGGGAGGGAGGGGTTTAACCCCATCTACTTCCTCCATGTAAGCCAAAACCCAGTGATTCTTGTTCACGTGAAGAAGGTAAATAGGTTCGTTGGATTTGGAGTCCTTGGGGCCAAGCCTCAAGGGCAGATAGGTGTTGCAGGAATTGAAAGAGAGGAAAACTATTGGGCGGGTATAAGTATTTGCAAGAATTGGACCATGCAACAACTTGCTGAGACACTTCCCAGGAGGAACACTAGATTGGGTGCCATCTACTGTTAGGCCATTGAGGATATTGACTACTTCCTGTTAGCTGCCCTGCAATTTGACGTAACTTGCTCGGTTATCTGTTAAATCGGTGATCATCTCCTGCCGGACCCGCATGAATACATTATTGTCGTAACCAAGTGCTCTTGCAACACAACGGAAGCCACAGTTCCCATTGCCTTCTGGGTCGAATTGGTCCTTTACCAGATGTTGTAGATGTTTTGGAACCTGGGATTTATATTTGTGCTAAAGGATTACATCAGCTACAAACAATTGACTCAATGATACTTGATGATTAGGAGACACTCACACTTGCCAGCTTTTCATCCAACAAAGCCAACAGAGTGTTATTATTGATTTCATCCAGAGATTGCCCGGCATCACTATCTTGATTTTCAATTTTTTGTTCACCTTTTGAAGGCTCAAATTGGGTTTCTTCAGGTTGTTTGGCTAGGTCTGCAGTTGGTTCAGTTTCATTGTTGTCCTCATGATCCGGACTGTTTGATTTTCGGAGCCGTTTCAATTGTCTTGCTGGGTTGCCTGTGGGTTTAGTTGTTCTTTTCAAGTTTCTTTGTTGAGTCTTGATCTCACTTTCAACAATCTCAAAGCCGGAAGGATCTCTTTTTGTTGATGTTGAATTTTTTTTCTTGAGTGATGGTTGGCCTTTAGGATTTTTCTTGACCTCTGGAGCTTGAATTTGAACCGCTACGTGGGTGCCTGCCGCAATTTGCTTAAACTGCGTGAAAATCCGCTCCAATTTGCTAGGATGTTGTTGAGAGAGAGCCATCTTTAAGTTTGTTTATCTCTTCATTGAAATCAAAATCGGACTCCACAGGTTCCTAACAAGACATTGAATTTCAAAGTATGAGTAAGATGTGAAGTTGGCATCTAGTTAATTAACTGAAACCAAACTCACCAATGACTCAGGGTTGTATTGTAAATGCCACTGTAAATGAAAATCTGCAGGAGATAATACATTTCCTTCTTCCAAAATTTTGGCTATCTTGTGGGCACAGGGTATTCCCAGCCCCTTTGTAAGGGTTTCAGAGCAAGGTTTGGTTGGGTCGAGGTTTTTAAGACGCCGAAATTGGCCTTGGCATTCTAAGATTGCAAAAGTTGAGATCTTGCCAATCAGAGGGATGAAAACATTTGGGATGTCAACAAGAACCTTTGTGGTATCCTTGCCAATGGATTCATGAACTGAGTTGAGTTGGTTGTTGACTGCAACGGATAACGAGCCAAAAACCAAAAGAAGGTTGCCTGTTGAGTCTTTGATAAACTTCTTGAGATAAGCGTGACCGGATTCAACTTGCGAGGTATTGAGATTTTGGAGGTGAGGATACTGGCAAGCCCACGCAACAACAAACAGTTCCTTCACTGGAATGATCCACTTCTCAAGGTATTCCAGCACAGCAGGGCGAGTCGCCAGTGAGAGTTTTAACTGGTTATATCGTTCAACGTATATCTTGGGAGATTTTGAGGAGGTGACGTTTGCCCAAGGAGACATGAAGGAATCCCAGCTGTCTTCTGAGTCCCCAGCAGCAAAGTACTTCTTGCAATTTGACGAGATATTCTTGTTGAGGTGCCATGTGCAGAGGTTGGCTTTTGAATCAGGAAAGGCGACCTCCAACACATTTTGTAAAGCAGTGTTCCAATCAGTGATGAAGACCTTTGGTGTCCGTTCGGGTTTCCAGATGTACTTCTTGAGGTTGTTGACAGCCCAAAAGTAGTTTTCCTTGTCTTCGTCAGTCAAATAGAAGAAGGCAATACTGAAGGAGTGATTTGTTTGAGCCTGACCAATGATGTGTAGCAAGGGAATGTTGTACTTGCAGGTCTTGTATGTTGCATCAAGTAATGCAACATGGTGATTAATGCAAGCCAGGTGAATTGAGCCAGGGTGAGCAAAAAAGAGATTCAGAATGGATCCCTTGCCATTGACCTTGACGTCCCAAGACCAGTTGGTCTCCTTAAGGATAGATAAGAGGGCTTTGGTTGGGCTGTTGCCAGCCAGGTCGTCTTGATGGATCCGTTGAAGTGCATTTGAGACAGTCCGGTTGGTTGCCAACACGTCTTTATCCGCTGTTCGGAGTTGTACTAAAATCTGAGCTGGCTTGAGGTTTGATTTGGAAAGGCGTCGGATCTCTTCCACTTGGTCAGGTATCAAGTGTCTGTGAGCAGCATGGGAAGCGGGCCCAGGTGAAGGTTTGTGGTTATGCTGGGCATTACAGATTTTCAACGACCAAGTTTTGTTGGTGATCTTCTTGCTTGTTGGTACTGAGCCGTACAGTTTGAAAGGGAAGTTGATCTTTGTTGTAGCATTTTGTCAAGCAGATGACTTCAATCCTGAGCCACGATATTGTCCTGACCAATCATGGGAGGTATGGCTGGATTTTCAGGGAGGGATTCGGTATTGTCAAAATCTTGAGGGAAGGTTGCAGGAGGTGGATCTGGTTTGGAGGCCAAGGTTGGGGCCAATGAGTGTCCTGTCACGATCAAGGCCAAGTTCATCATTGGTGGCGTGCCCGGATTCATTGCCGACATTGCTCCTGAAGTTGCCAATGAAGCTGCTGTATTCATTGCTGACATTGCTCCTGAATCTATCAATGGCCCTGAAGTTGTTGCCGGCCTTGACCCGGAAGTGTTTGCCAACAGAGCTCCTGTAGTCACGGACGAGTCCACCAAGCTTAACGAGCTTAACAACGGCACCGTTCCTGTAGTTATCGAGGTTGAGGCCAGGGCTGGGGCTGGGGCAAACGGCAATCCTGTAGCCATTGTTGACGAAGCTCCTGTATTGCCTCCCTGGAATAAAGCGAGCATTGATTGGAGTTGAATCAGCATTTTGGGAGGGACAACCACACCGTTGATCGGCATGCTGGTGTGATTGTTTTTTGACATTGCTTCCACTGAGGGTGAGTGTCAATAGTGGCTTTGGGGTACGAGATGATCAGAGTCTTGACGAGTGGGTTGGTTTGTAGAGTGTGTAGAGTGTCAAGTCAGTGTTGATGGTGGTTGGCTTAGGGGATAAGGGTACATATGGGTGGGTATGTACCCATCATATCGATATCACACTCCGCTCCACTATGTTTGGGAGTACACAGCGGCGCACTCCTAAACAAAGTGGATGGGGGTTCAGATAATGGAGTGTCAGGTTGTGTACTCCAAGGTCATTGGAGTGGCCACCAGCGCACTCCCCAGATCACAGCTCCAAAAAGGAGGTTGGAGTACACGGGCTCCGACTCCAAGTTTTGTGTAGTGCACCATGGTGTACACCAACCAATTGGGAGTGTACACTCACACACGCCTTTTTGGCGTGCGCAGGGGTTTTTCTTGGCATGCAAGAAGGCGGACCCTTGTTGAAAAGTTGTCATTTTCAAAAATAACTATATCAAAATTGACAAAATTACAAAATAATGTGAGCAGAGGGAAACATTTACAGCTATTTCGGAAAGGGTTGTCCAGTTGTCTCTCGCAATTTTTTTTTTTTTGAATTTTTTTAAATTTTTCTTTGTACTGAACTACAGCCGAGGAGGTACAGCTGTCATCACTAGTTCAGTTCTGACAGGTCCAGTTCAGTAAAAAAATAAAAAAAATAAAAAATAAAAAAATAAAAAAGATTTCGCGAGTCCAAGTGGACAACCCTTTCCGAAATAGCTGTACAAGAAGCAGACCCTCCTTGGTCCACAAGGAAATTAGATAATAGTGGAAGAGGAAGAGCATAGGCAGAAAAATGCACAAAGAACTGGCTTTTAAGCCCAAATTTGAAAACTCAGCACGCGGGGATTGCCACATCTGTCTTAGGCCTCCACTGACGTGGACAGCTCTGGACAGCTCCGCTGCTTGCTCCCGCTCCCGCCGTGGAGGCCTAGTTAGGCTTGTGTCGACTTCCTTGTAATGACGTACATATTTTCGGGAAAAATTGTGGTCCTTTTTATCTAGTATTGTCACTCCGCATTGCATGAGACGCTTCTCTAACATGTAAAGATACAAGAAATAAAAAATGCATCATTCATTCTTTTTCAGCTTTTCGTAAAGACGGGAATCGGTTCATCTCCTCATGTTTTTCTTAGACCTATGCTTACTCAGATAACATGAGGTCGATTGACATAAGAATTGAGACACTTGGCCAGCAAATTATGAGCCCGAGAAGATAGTGACCAAATTTTCTAAGCTGATCTCTTGAGTCTCAATCGAGCCCAGTCTGAATCCGATTCGAACTGCAAGGAGGTGAGCGCACTACGGAAAACAAAATCAGGTTGATCCATTTTTTTAAGGAAAAATGACTGATTGAAAAAAAGCCCAGGAATGCGTGTTAAATTTTCAGAAGAACTTATTTACCATCGTTTGGCGACCTTTGATTATCACTCCATCGATAAATGTTCTACAAGTGCAACTGTCCTTAAAACCTAATTGTACGTGATAGATTGCCTCGTTCCCCTGAACCTGTTCGCCAACGAAAGGAAAGCGCGATCAAGGTGAGTCTTTTGAGTCGACGGGTGGCCGTCCCTAGCAATATTATAGTGAACTTTTCCACTCACCTCATACAATGCTTGTCCATTCTTGAGTACTAATTTCCTCACTAACACCTCCGACCATCATCAAAGACCAAAGAATAAGAAATCATCATACTAAAAAACACAGAAGAAGGAAAAATAAATACCGGCTTTATGATCAAGGAGCTCTAATGATGCCAGTAAGATATCAGGGCCACAAATTACGTGGAGTGCATGGATCTGTTGATCGGTCAGTTCAGTTGAATCGATCTGCTCAAGTTGACGATTGAAGATGACCTCGAATGCATTGTCATCGTCGCCTGTTTCAAGCGAGAATGCCATTGTTTGTGGTCATTTTGGGTTCATCGCCCACATGGTGGAACCGAAGCTGATCGATTTACGGTCTATGACCCGTGGGTCGGGGAACTCGGCAAACCAGCCCGCCCCCCGAATCTCTGTGGCTCACAACCGGGTCCAAGCCCCCCTTGACCCAAAAGGGCTTGAGCCTTGTTTGCGGCCCGAGCCCGGCCCATGCTCCGTCCATCCGCCCCGAGGCCTCCCATGAGGCCATCAGCTTCATACAGGCTCGTCGAAACCACTCCATCAAACCGATTCCTGCAAGTTGTTCCGGTCATTCTTCACTCGATCATCAGTCGACTGTCATGTCAGTAAGTCATCCTCTCCCTCACTAAACAGTCGGCTCTCTCAACGTCCCCTCCGCCTGCCTGCTTGCTTATCTACTCCTTTCGGTTTCTCCGCCCCGTAGTCCGGCTTCTCTTATTCCGGTAAACGGCCCAGATGCTTCGAGTTCTGGCAAGGTAATTTGCAGTTCTTTCTATTTTGAAATTGTCCGATTGGAAAGTATGGCACCAGAAAGAAAGGGAGTCTTTATAATAGTACTGATCGGTTTACTTCATACATTTCAGAGTTTCAAAAATGCTATGCCGGTGCTGATTTCCCTGAAGACTGTCGCCCTCAAGTGGAGGATTACAACGAGTGTTTGAGTCACAAGAAAGAAGTGAGTAGATTTACCAATTTTACACCTTTTTTCAATCTCTTCGCCCAAATTTCCAACAATCGTTCAACCAAAAAGAAAAAGAAGAAAAAAAAAGTGGAAGGGGAGATGATGACGCTGACCAGGGGATTTACTTATATTAGATTGCACGTGCAAAGACGCTTCAGGAAAACTTCAGCAAGAAACAAGCCCAACAGTTGGAGAAACAGAAGTTGGAGGAAAACGTCACGCAGAGTGGGATCATCAGTCTGGGACTATTAAGTCGAGCCCGAGCCGACAAGGAAGCCCAAAAAAATCAAACAACCGCTCCCATCCAATAAAACCTCTCTCTCTATCATTTTACACCGGCCCCCCATTCCTCCTTTTCACAATAAAATCTATGTTCTTATAAAGCCTATTTCTTCCGAAATCGTGGGGTCAATCATGGTAGTGTGTTTTCTCACTAAAACGGTCATAGACTTGCCGATTTGTGTAAGTAAGTGAAGGTGGGAATCTGAGATGTCAACAAAAACCGAGCTCTGAGCCCAGCTCTCCATGATCGATAACTTTTAACGAAGGGGAAGAAGGTCTCCCTCATGACCGACTGCTATTGGTTGATGAGAAGCGCGCAATAGTACATACACACGTTTCATTACCCTTCAACGAGCGGGTATGTTCAAACTTTTGGCAGACGGCCAGTCCATTCTTGACAATTGCTTCTGTACCCCCTTTCCTTTTTTTGGTGTCATTAGAAAATACATTTGGAAATTGTTCCATGATAATAATATACGCGCGTCAAAATGTGGTATGCTGAGTTTCCTCTGATCTTCTTGAAAAGTTTGGATGACCAAGGTGGGGCAACATGTACTGTTGTCAATGGAACTTCCTTTTGTGATAGATTGTGGGTGGAACTGGTCCAACTGCTTCGACCAAGAAAACTAGGCTGTTATGTTCCGTCCAGCGTGAGCAATGGCGAAATGGAGAAGCAAGGGGAGAAGAGAGGACTATCAGTATCATCAATCCAGATGGAAACCGATGGGCAACCGCCGAGGGCAAACCTATCAGAAGAAATACTAATCGATCATCCCGTGGCATCTGCTCTAGTAGTTCCGAGGATGGCCCACCTGCGGGAAGACTCAGGATGAAGACGTGGGATTGAGCTTAGCGTCGAGCATCTCGACCACCAGCTCCTTCGATCCCTGTTGTTCGAGCCTCGGCACATTAGTCGCTGTGGTACCAACTTTTTCTCGGCGCCTTCCAATGATCCCTTCAACTCCCCAGAGAAACACCGGACGCAAGGCAGCCCGACAAGATATTCCACCGCCTCATCCATGTCCATCTCCCGGGGTTCCCAAGGAAGGCTCAGTGAGCAGCCGGTACACCCTTGAAGTAATCTCTCTCCTTTATGTCTCTTATTATATGATCAAACTAAAATGATGTATTGAGCTCATCTGGTGATGTGCTGATTGAAAGCAGCTGAAGAAATCTCTGCTCAGTCGACGCAACCATCATCATCGCCACGATCAACACTCTGCATCATGGGTGTATCCAAATAC